AATTTATTTTCGCATTCTAAAGCGAATATGAAGAATTAAAAATGTAATCCAAGTTAAAATACAAATCAAAGATTTCTTTGCAAAAAGAATTCGATGCTTTTATTACACTTTTGAAAATGAATGTTTTGTTTGTCCATATTTCATATAAATATTCTCAAATTGATTATTCGCTATTTCGAATATTGCATCTCTCTTACAACTAACTTAATTTAACATATCGAAATATATGTTAGCGTCCAATCTCGGATTTCACTTTAGATTAGTCGAATGTTGGATTGAGAAAGAATTTTTCGCTAAAACCTCTATCAGTCACTAGATCAATGTTCAATTCGAATTCTTTTCAGACAACAGTGTTAGAACAATGGCATCTGAGATATTGCAAGCATCAATGAAGAAAATAAGCTCGGACTTGAATATTTCTAGATACTTTTTCATAAAAATTGTTGTTCTGTGAAAACTCACCTCCACACCCTCACCCTCGCAGTTATGCAAAAAGAGTTCGAATTGAACATCGATCTAGAGACTGATGGAAGTCTTAACGAAAAGTTCTTTCTCAATCTGACATTCGACTAGTCTAAAGTGGAATTCGAGTCCCTAGGCAAATCTGAGATTGGACTGAATCCGAGATTAAACCCTAACATATATAAGTCAGGCGACAATATTGTACATTCATTATTTTTGCCGGCAACTGTAGCGAGTTGATGAATTATATTTTTTCCATCGCCCCGTGAGTTAGTTCATTCTGTATGAAAAGACACATAATATCTATTTATATTATTCGATGCATTTAGGTAAATTCAATGTCAATAGATTTGTTAAATATTAAACAGATATTCATCAAAAAAAAAATATCCAAAACCTTTAAACCTCTACAGAATAAAAGCCCACTGGACTTTTAATTTGTTTTGAAAGTTATAAGTTTGAACATTGGCTTTGATTGTGATCAATGTTTTCCACGTTGCACTTAAGATTTAATTCACTTATTGGTGCAGAACATTTGAAACTTTATAAAATGAGATTTCCAAGTCGTCGGACAACTGTAGGGTAGTCATTATAGTTTTCTAGAAATCAAGAACTAGCCACCGGTATATTCTCGATTCCATATTATCAAATCGAAAGTGTAGTGTATTCTTTACACTATGTTTCCCATTCAGGTATTCATCTCTCTTTAACATTATATGGATTCAGCAAGGACCATAGAAAATCGTGATTAATATAATATGTTCATTTAGGGAAGTGTCAATCTAGAAAGGATCTAAAAAAAAGTTGCTATTAGAACTAGATCGACGTAGTTCTCCTGGATGACTTCATCATAGACGTTCATTTGTCTGTTAATAGAAAATATCTACAACTAAAAGCAAATTATAGCCACATAAAGTGAACTACTACAACTAAACAGCGAGCTAATTTATAAAAAACTTTAAAATATTCTATTACACATTCACTTTTGGCAGGGTGAGCTTCTAATATATTTGAAAAGTTATAACCTCGAGATTGGACTTTTATTCTAGTACTGAATTACTGGATTTAGTACTGGATTACTGAGTTCAGTACTACTAAATAGTACAATTTTTAGCTGCTATACTATGTAGGAGACTGAATTAATTTGTCTTTTCACTAAGTTATTCAAATGTACTCTTCTCTCTTAAATACTAACTGGAACAGCTATCGAAAGTTATTAATAACGTTATAGAAAACCGATATGAGATGCACAGCAACACTATGAGCAGCACCATGATTCTTATCTTATTTGATTTTTATCTGTTTGTTTCTATTTTTCTTTTTTATTTAGTCGATGTAAATCAATGAAAACGACACCAACGATAAGACTATTCTCTTTTATTCAATTTTCAATCATGCCCATCTTTTTTTATTTCAGTCGATGAGAATACACAACAACAACAGGAATAGTTAGGCCATTTTTATCGTATTCAGTTAATATTTATGTATTTCTCTTTTTTATTTTGGTCAATTGAACCAAAGATGACAATATGAACAGTCAAGTAACTCTTTTCTAATTTCGATCTTGTCTTTCATTTTTTTTGTTTAAGCCGATTTAAATCAATGACAACAAAATGAACACAGATATTCTCATCAGGATCGATTTTTATCTGTTTTCTTTTTCTTTTTTTATTCAGTCGATGAGAATCCAAGACTACAATATGAGCAGTAAGATCATTTTTTTCTTATTCGATTTTATATTCTACTTTGCTTTTTTTTCCATTTTAATCCATTCAAATCAACGTTGAGAAAGTGAATGCAAAAGGTGATTCTAATCTTATTCGATTTTTTATGTTTCTCTTTTTCTTTTTTAATTAGTCGATGGAAATCAATGATACCTACACTAACAGTAAGATAGTTTTTTCCTGTTCGATTTTTATTTATTTGTTTCCCTTTTCGTATATTAGTCGATACAAATCTGCAAGCACAAAATAAACAGTGAGATAATTGTTTTCTTAGTCTATTTCTAGTTGTTTTTGTTTTTCAATTTTAGTCGATGGAAATCATCAATATCACCATGAACAATAGAGTAATCATTATCTTTATTGTCGAACAATCGTCAATGTGATTGTACCAGTACTTTATAGGTACTCAGTGAGCAGATAACAAAAATTCACTATCACTTGCAAAGATCGCAAGATTTCGTCACACTTCTATAGAAAACTAGTCAGTTTTCTCTCGAATAACTATTCGTGCAATCCAAGAAACTGATGGCAACGCACAGTATCAAGGGTGTGGATGTGGATCTTCTTCTCACCCACGTCCACACCCTTCTGATATATGTTTTTCTGTCTTGCAATTTTCTCATCTGATTTTTCGAGGAAAGACACAAATTAGTTATTAAATTCATTAAGTTAGAAAACGTTTCAATTAGAGAAAGTGAAACATACTGATTTTTATGTTCTTTCCATCATCGAAAATGTGATTTTTTCGCGATTGTCATACGAAAGTCACTGTGTTGATCATTATCTTATTTCATAGAACAGTGCGAAGATAATCAATTGAATTACTATTGACAGCTGTTCTAAGTAGTAGACGATTGTATCCCGTCCCGTAACATCCCGCTATAGTTTAAATTTTGTCGTTCCATCCTATCCCATTCTGTCCTAGGATGGGACGCGAGACGCCTCGCGGAGCTCTGTATTGGATCCTTCATCATATCCCACTCGTTCAAGTGTTATTCTCACATTATTATTTACACGAGTTGGATGAGGCGCAGTAACAATAAAATCAGTTACTGTTTCACTAAATAAATAAGCACCAGCGTAAATAAGCTGAATGGTTATCTGAAACGTTGAACTATGGCCTGAGAATATTGTTGTATCAAATGTAGACTAACGTCTAAAACGTCTGAAAAAGTATCTCTTATATGTAACTTTTAAAGCTCGAACTGGCGATGTAATTGTATATTTCGAAAAGTTCAAGCTACTGATCTATCAATCGACAAAATTTCAGATTATCTGAGAAAACTTTGAATGCGAAGGTTGTATCTCTGACGAAGCTACATTGACAAACTTTTTGTTGAATGAATTCGCAGATTATAACTTCCAGAGATGCATTTGCACTCGTATGTGCTTCATCGTGGCACTGCACGAGAGCGAATCACAAAGAAAAAAACGTCATGTTTCATGCATCTCACTGGATAAGGATTGAAAAAACCCAATAGAATAGTAAAAAAATTCGTTCCGCAGCCACTCTTTCAAGGCTGTAAACGAAGAAAGCAAAAAGCAGACGATTAAAAGAGTATTTACATTCGTCATCCACAAATAAAAAAGATGATTTTTTTTCTTTCCAATGGTGATGTGTTGGGTTTTTTGAGTCATCAATCATTCTGACTAAATTGAGTCAGTGCGAATATCATTGAAATAGAAACGATGACAACCAGAATTACACAACTGAAATGAAAGAATTATGTATTGTTTTGGGAAAAATTCGAATGACTAACATAGCGATGTTCTATATAAAGAGCTGTTAAAATCATCCTGCAACATTCACAACTTCTTACTGATTGTGCATCAATATTAAAATCAATACGCATTTTCGAACGAGACTTTTCACTAATCAAAACAGGTAAGATGATCGAGTTCTTTACTGCTTTCATGATTTTATGATACATTCGCTAAGAAAATGGGCATGATTTGACGAACAAAAACGATTGGATATAAAATTCTACAGAAAATTACAGCTGGTTTTTCGAGTTCAGAATCTACAAAAAAATGTTCGTCGCCGTTACAGCTTTCTTGACATATTTTTAAAAATGTTTCGTAAAGGGCATCAGTTCTGCACTAATATCGAAATTATTTCGAACTGTAAGGGCAACGAAATTTTTTTCCAGATTCTGAACCCGAAAGATCAGCTCTATTTTCTGTAGAATTTTGCATGCAATCATTTTTGTTCGTCAAATCATGCTCATTTTCTCGGCGAACGTATTATGAGGGATGTTTAGAGTTTTTCTTAGTCAGAGCAAGAGACTCCACACTAATTATTTACCGAACATAGATTAACTCAAGATATATCGATTTACATGGAAATATCGAAGAAAAAAATTCGGGGGTTCTAGTTTGGATAGATCATATCCTAAACTGCTTCACACCCGGACAAAAAAGGTCTTTCTAGTTGAATTCATTCAATTTTCGTAAGAACCAAGACCAGACATCATATTCATGCTCAAGATGAAAATCTGAACCGAATGGAGTATATGAAAATTCTTCCAAGGTATTATGAATGATTTTACTGAACAAGTTTCTCATAAGATAGCTGAATCATACAATCAACCCAATATTTCGACTCTATGTGTCATTTGAGTGCTTGCTTTGTCACACTACTAATGTAGTTTTTGAAGAGCTCATCGAAGGCTACATGATACACTATTTGAGTTTGTCTATTCACTGAGTTCAGCGTCCTCAATACGTTTTTCGAGCACTGACTGAATCTCCAAACAATGATAAAACATTTCATCTTTTCATTTAGAACAATCAATGTCTTCTAGATCGCGAAATATGTCATTAACTTCAGAACAGTTCTCTGGTTATTGTGATTGTGGTGGTCGTTGTTGTTCTGTTTGTCGTCTTTGTGCTGATTGGTATTATAATAAACATAGTCAACATTGGAAACTTCGTCCAGATTCTACTTGTCAACGTGGTCATGTTGATCCTGATGTTACTGATGATCGTAAAGCTAGTGCTCGGCAAGCAAAACATATTTGCATGTGTATTTAGCAAAATTGAACCTATGGAATAAAGACTTTTAGAACGATTTGTGCTTATTTTCACTTTTCTGTGTTATGTCAATTACAAAAGACCACAACTTACTTGCTGAAATTATGTGTGATTAACAATAAAGGGCATCATCAAGACGTTCTATTAGTGTTTATTGTTAGTGTTACAGGTCGTTTAGGCCTTTACATCGATTATACCCTTTTGTGTGTTTCTCTTCTTGTTGTCAATCCTGAAAGAATGAGTCTTCACAGCATAAAATTCTGTTCCATCTCTCTGTACGTTGATTGATCGAAAACTAAAATCACTTTCCTTGTTTTCAGAGGAAATATTTCAGAGTTTTATCAAAGTTGGTATGAGGTTTTCGGAGATGAAAATCTTGAAGCTGATTATTCTCACACTTAATTTCATCAGCTCATTTCGTGTCGCTAAGATATGAAGAAGAAAGGAACTTTGGTAAAAAGAGAATATATAGGTTCGTATTTTTTTCTTTTGCTTTATTTTTGAATAACATCATATTTCATGGTAGTAAGGTTGGAGTTAGTTTTGTGACATACAACTTGAGAATGACATGAAGTGATTCGAGAAACGTTGGATTTCTCTACTCGACAGCGAAAATTGATCGTATAAGGACTGGTTTGTATCTTGGTAACCACGGTCCAATTTCTTCGCACTGAGGCGGTCTCAGCTACTCACTTGATTATTATTCAGATGATCTCAGTGTTCTCTCAAGTTTGTTGATTTCTCAACAGACGCGTACCATCTCGAATAGTCATGATGAAATTAAACAGTCGCTATCACCAAGTTCAGTCGATTGCTCGAAAGCGTTCGAGGAACAACTATAATTCTACGAGCAAAATGTGGAACGAATTGCATTCATCGTACTGTCAATCCCTTGATTTCTTCGGAAGACATCACGAAAACCCACTATTCATTCTCTCAGACCAGTTATTATGAGGATCGAATTGATCATCACAAGCTCATACTATTGATCCTCATTACTTTACAAGTTTTCGTGTGTTGGTCTCGATTGTTCATGTTTCATATCATGGTTACATTTAACAACAAGATTGAGGGTGGGTGTGGGTGACGAGAGTACTTAGATTGAGACGCACCCACACCCCACACCCATACATACCCATATTATAATAATCCTCTATCACTAAGCATTTTCAGCGTGTAATTCGAGACCAATTAGACGTGTCCTTGTGATTTGTTTCGATCAAAGCACATTTTTTCTTACAAGGCTATTGATAAATCTGTCTTCGATCTGAGCTCATCACTGATCAGATTTTTCTACGTGTTCTCGACCAACAATGGCTGTTTTCCGTGTATATATTAAGATTGAATTTTCCCGGACAACGCTGGGTATTTCTGTTAGTCAATAATAAAATAAAAAAAGGCCTTCTCTATTGTGAACTTTGAACAGATGAATATTTCAGATAATCAATGATTTTTTCCATGAATAAAATAAATTTCTTTCATTTTGATATACTCTTTTCAAGTAAAGACATTTATTTCTATTTAATTACTTTGAATGAATGATTAAGAACATATTTACTATCTGAAAGATAAATGATGATCGAAATCATTTGAAGAATCCTTTAAGCAACAAGAACAAAATTTTTCATTGGAATTATGTTTATCAACTAACTATCAATCAATTGTATTTTTCAAAGGCTAATCTCATCAATATAATTTGCTTAAACTCTTCATGATCATGTCAAACAAAGATAAACATGAAACTAATTTGTATGCTGTTATTTCATTATACTTATTTTTGAAAAATCTTAATAGATGTTTTTCAATGGACAAAACATTTCATTCTATGAGAAATAAAATAATTATTATAGAAGTATCTCATAGATTTTCTATGATTTTTTTTTTTCTGAATAATATTGAAAATGATATCCAAAAAGAATTCTCTGATGACTATAAGCTTTTGTAAAAGGAAAAGCAAGTTCTAACATCGAGAAAATCTAACGTGCACAAGAGTGCAGAAAAGTAAAACAAAAATAGAGATAATTCTTTTCCTTTTCAAATATATTGTCTATGATGGGTCAAGTCAAAGGAATAAGCAGGTCCTGCACTGTACTAGACGATAGAAACATAATTTGATCGGAATAATCTCATCTCTTTATATACAGATAGAATCTTCTTTCGTTTCAATTTATTATCTGACAAACAAATCATCAAACTAAAACTTATTCTCATCAAATAAATCATTTCAATTGAAAGAGAGAAAAAAAATAATATTCATATTGAAAATGGACAATTTTCGTTCTTCAACATGTAAAAGTTCATCATCATTGCTAGGTTTATATTTATAACAATAATGGAGAAACATTGGGAGAAGTTGAGATTTGATAATACAAGAGACAATAATAACTTAGTTGTTTAATGTTTATCACAGATAAATTGATACAAAGAACAGTGTTCAACCATTTTGAAAATTCCTTGTTTGAATAGCTTTGATTAACCAGGGAAAACAATTTGATGTAATTATAATATAAATTCCAATAGCAATAAAGACAATTGGAACAATATAACGAGCATATTTTTGTGCTAAATTTAATATTGGTTGATAATTAATAAAATAATATGAAATGATTAACCAAATAAAAACCATTAAAAGAAATATAATTATATAAATAATAATTTGCCATCGATATGCTTGAGCAAATAATGGTGTATAAATAGCAATATTATCTCCACTATTAGCTACTGTTATACTTGTTACTTTTAATGTTTCAACTGTAAATATATGATTAAAACATTTGAAAATATTTAATTTCATTCGATCAATTTTTGAAAGATTTGTTGGATTATTTTCTTCAATTTCTTGTTGATCTTCTTTTTTTATTTCAAAAATAATATTTCCATTAGATTGATTTCTATAACGAACAATTTCTAATTGAACAGTTGAAATTGGATCCGATGGAAGTATATCATCAATTGTTCCATGACGATTTCGATACAAATCAATTAGAATTTTAATCAATTCTCTTAAACCAAGATATATTGGAACAAAACCAAGAAATCCTAACATTTCAATTGGTAATACAAATGATATAAAATAACCAATTAAACTAATTGATAATAAAATAAAAAAACCAAGATATTGACCAAGAAAAATATGACGAACTTTCATCTTAGAATTTCCTATTGAAGCTTCAGTAAAAAAATTCATTAAAATAATTAAATCATCAGCATTTGTAACAATATATGATATTAATGCTGTTACTATTAATTTTCCAAGATGATTATTTCTTTTTTCATTCATATCCATCTACCATGTACTTAATCGAAATCTGTATAAATATGTTTGATTCATTTTTATCTGAGAACATTCGAATAAAGGTCAATATGATAAGTTTTTTTTTTGACATTCAAACATCTTCTTTCTTTTTCAATCGAATGCGAAGAACACAAAATATTTCTACATGATAAGTACTCAAGACATTATTTCAATATGAAAAGGTTAAAATCTTCCGCAATAAATCATATATACTTTTGTATTTCGTTATTCGTAGACATAAGAACTTTTTGTGAAACACGATCTAAAAGGAGTGTTGAAGTATTAAGGGTAGAAATTTGGACTCCTCCCCCACAGACGTGACAGACATCTTAGCAACGCTGACTCTCCGTCACAGACCTTGACAGACATCCTTAGCAACCATTACAGACCGTGACAGACATTTTATTAATTATCTAGTTAATAACTAACTAACACCTTATTAATTAGGGTTAATGACTAATTAATTAAGTAGTTAATTAATTAATTAACGGCTACTTTGGGATTGATTATTCACCTTATAATTAAGGATTAGTTGATAATAGAATAATTCTCACAGGCGATGACTAATACGTCTAATATGTTCACAAACACTCCGAGAAGCAATCATTGAGTATAAAAGACTGTTGATATAAGATCAAAGACCACGCATCAATAACGTTTTATTATAATGTATAAAATAATTTTTGATTTCAGTTTTGAAGGAATGGGTAAAACAATATTTTAGAAATGTACCCCGAAATAGATAAATGTAAAAAATTCCCCTGCAATTAGGAAAAGCAGTTAGATCGTGTTTCACATTTTAATCCCGCAGGAATTACGCTAACAGCTTTTTTTTTCAAAGATAAAATTGATTCTTTCAAGAGACAATGAATAGAAAAGAAAAGGAATGAAAAAAATTCCAATATTTATTGAAAGTAAAATCAATTGAAAATTGTTCGTCCATTAGTTAAATATAATACATATCGATAATAATTTAATAAAAATAATCCAATATCTCAAAATCAACTTCATCGATCATCGAATTCTATTAATGAATGATTTCTTTCAACAATCACATATTGATCTTATGAAACAATTTGATTATTTCAAAAATGCGTCAAAATTCAAGGATATACAATGAATTGATCAAATTCTTTATTGATTGAATCAATTTCAACAGACGAATAAGACCCTAAAGACTGCGTTGTTAACAAAAACATTTCCATTAATATCAAAATGATGTTCTGCTGCTCAATCATTCATCAGAATAATATCAGTTGAAAAAATTTCTATCTTATATATTTTTTCTTTGACAAAGAATAAATATCTTTATCGATAGAACTTCAACGTCGACGTTGATGTTCGTCGGATATAATCTCTGTAGTTCTGTCTTTTCGATAGAAAACACTTATCTCGGTCATCTGTAACCAAGACGAACTTATCAATTAGAAAAAAACCTGTAGATAAAATCATTTAGACATTTGATAAAAACAGACTTCTACTAGGGAAGAAGATCATTGAAAACTTTAATAAAACTATATTCCATAATCATCAAGAAACGATATATCACATTGTTTGTCTGAATTGTTTTCTAAATGAATTTATAAAAAAATATTATTAATCGAAGAAATTTGTTGAATTTGAAAATATTAAATAAAAAATAATGAATTGGTTTATCACTGTTATCACATATGTTAGACTTAATAGAAAAAATCTTTAATATTTATTGAATGGTTGACCACATAAGGGTGTGGGTCAAAGTATTCCATTCATCCGAGCCCACCCACTCACACTCACATCCTAATTATTTCACACTCATTGAGTTATACGTTCATATTAAAATACATCTTTCCCTAGTTTCTACAAGTCAAAAATAGAAATTACTTCAACACATCGTTTAAAATAAATTTTAGCAGTAGATAGAAAGAGATGATAAATTTTGTGTTTTTTGAGCAGTCATCCTATTCCGCCATGTTGCACATTGCGGAATCGATTCCGCCCCCGGAACCCATTCCATCGATTCCAAAATCACATCAAACCTTAACTAAATTCGAATCCGAAATCGCTATAAACAACGTCCACCATTTCCGGAATCCATTCCAGTAAATCATAGCGATTCCTAGCAATTCCGGAATTGCTATCTCTAGTATTGTACAATCATCTCTTACGGATCTACTGATGATCCAATTCCGCAATGCAATTCTGGAATCGAAGGAAACCGAAATCGCTAGAAATCAGTGGGAATTGGTAGCAATTCCTAACAATTCCGGAATCGCTCTGTCTAGTATCATTGAGTGTAGATGTGGATGGGTGTGGGTTACTGTGGGTGTGTGATGTAGCTCTCCTTTGATCCACAACTGCACCCAGATCTACACAAACTCACACGCACACCCGCACCCTGGAAGTGCATGCAATTCCTAGTTGAAGCGATTCTCGGAATTGCAGTTGGGAATTGCATGCAATGATAAAATGTAAGGGAAGGTATAACTAGAATGTGTTAGTGATTCCTGAATTGAACGGAATTACATGCTAGTGCATGCAATTCCGTCTAATTCGGTGCAATTCCTAGTTGAAGCGATTCCCGGAATTGCATGCGAATATAAGAGATAAGGAAAGGTGTATGTTGAATGTATGACTAATTCGGGAACTGAACGGAATAGTAAGATATGATTCCGGAATTCTTGAGAATCGGTGTATGTGATTCCGGAATCGATGGAATTGATTCCTGCGGCGGAATAGGATGTATTCTCTGTTTGTTTTTCTTTTCTGCAGTAAATCGATAATCCCATAGATTTGTTTTATTTTTTTTTAAATTCATAAACATATATACATACATGTATGTATTTGGATTTTTTTTACTATCAATCAATAAAAGTATATTTTTTTATTTCCTTCTTTTCTACAATAAACGAATAAACATAGATGTATTTTTTTTATTTCTTTTTTCTAGAGTCGATGAATAAACATATCTATACATGTTTTTTTGTTCTCTATGATAATCTATAAATATAGAAATATTTTTCTATTGGCTTTCCTTGATTGATCAATACGCCTACATATATATGTCGTTTTTTATTTGTTTTTTACAATAAATCAAAATAAATATTGACATTTTTTAAATTGATTTACTGACTGATACGAATGGATCACTTCATCATTTCTAAACCCAATCCACCAATACACTTATTCAGACCATTTGGGGAATGGATTCTTTAAAAATCTAATTACACATAAAAATTATGCAAAGCTTATAATGCTTTTATATAATATTTTCATTCTAGCCATTTTTCATCTCGTAATTATCCTGATACTATTAATTAACGACATCATCGCTATATCTATTGACATCTTCACATGTTTTCAGTAATTTAGTGACGTTTCTATCCCTACTCTCCATTATGGAAACAACATATAGTGTCATCTATTTATTTTTCTATAAATGGACAGCATAATATTTATCGAACACTAAGGGGTCGAACACACTAGAAAAAGTGACTTAACTTAAGACAAATTTAAGCAACGTGATTGGTTAATTTAGACTTAAGTCATCTCAAAAAGATGACTTAAGTCTGACTTAACCAATCACATTACTTAATTCAAACTTAAGTTAAGTCAGTTGTCTCTAGTGTGTTCGACCCCTAATACACATATTATACTGATTCTAAATATATAAAAATCTTAATATTTGGTTCGTTTCCCAAAAAAAAAATTTACAGTGCATTTAGAAATAACCAGTCGAAGGCAAGCACATTCTTTTCATCAGTCAATCGATCAAATGTGCTTTCTACAATAAATCAACAAACATACCAACATTTTTTAAATGTGTTTTCTGCAATAAATCAATGGGTATGTATATGTATATTCTTGATTGCCTTCCTTTATACAATAAATCAATAAGCATAGGCATTTCTTTTATTTGTTTTCTACAATCGATCAATAAACATATATATAGTTAGGTAATTCCAAAAGTAGTGAGAGCAACGCTTTCATGTCTTCTAACAAAATGAATGAGAGTTTCTTTTCGTATGAAACGATAGAGAAAAAAAATCCTCTATCTTTCTATGCTATTTCATCATACTTTATTTAATATTATGATAGAAAAGTTTTCATAACATTCATTTTGGTATTATGTGTTTTGGTTACGACACTACATTTACTCATCGATATGGGTTGGCTTCTTAATTCTTTTCCGTGTTCTGCTTCTTTCTTTCTCTTATGTCTTTCTTTCTTTCTTATCTTTTCTATTCTCAGGCATCTTTCTATGTATATTTAATATACATGCCTTTTTTCTTCTCTATAAAGAAACTTTTCTCCAGTAACGTGTCAGTAATAAAGTTCGTGATATGGTGACTTACTAGTCAATTTCTGTCTACGTGACTATCCGTTGTCTAGTGTCACTAAGACATTCTAGAACTTTCTATTGTACTCCCATCTTTTTCGTCATATCAAAGTGTTCTTGCGGAATGTTCAGATGACATTGGACAACGGATAGTCACGTGGACAGAAATAGACTGATAAGTTACCATATCACGAACTTTATTACTGACATGTTACTGGAGAAAAGTTTCTTTATAGAGAAGAAAAAAGGCATGTATATTAAATATACACAGAAAGATGCCTGAGAATAGAAAAGATAAGAAAGAAAAAAAGACATAAGAGAAAGAAAGAAGCAGAACAAGGAAAAGAATTAAGAAGCCAACCCATATCGATGAGTATATGTATTGTCGTAACCAAAACACATAATACCAAAATGAACGTTATGAAAACTTTTCTATCATAATATTAAATAAAGTATGATGAAATAGCATAGAAAGATAGAGGGTTTTTATTCTCTATCGTTTCACACGAAAAGAAACTCTCATTCAGTTTACTACAAGGCATGAAAGCGTTACCCTCACTACTTTTGGAATGACCTAGGTACACTTTTTTAAAAATCTCTTTTCTTCAATAAATCAATAATCATACATATATCTATATATCAGAGCTAACTTTAAATATTTTAAAGACAACTAGTTGAGTTTAAAATATTTTAAAATCACCTGTAACATATATGCAAACATATATTGGCTTCTTATTTCTTTTCTAGAATAAACCAATAAATGTATATATTTATATGAAGTAGCTGTGCCCGTCTGAGTAAACATGATCAGTCAACTAAAATGTATACCGGTACGTATAATCAAATAATTAATAAATATAGACTAATATTATACTGAGATATTTTCTTCATAATCATTTTAATCAAAATTTATCAATTGATTAACAATTTTACTCTATTTATTCTTTATTAAATTGGAATACCGAATAGAGTTGTGTTTTTTTTTCTATTTTCAATACGGTTAAAATTTATGTAAAAAAATCAATTATAAAACAATAATCATCAATTTTTTTACATCCCTTTCCGATTTTATCTCTAATCAGGTATGATTTCTTATCTTTTCTAGTTTTGTTTTGTTAAATCAGTATTCTTCAGAATTTCCTAGGTTTACAAACAATTCTTTGAAAGCTTCTTTCTAAATATGTATTTACTAGTTAAAAATAAAAGTTAAGACATACGACGATGAACCGAAAACCGTGAAGAACTATTGTCTTAGTAGCAAGGAATTGATTTTTATACAATCTAATTCTTTTGAAATGCATTCTTTAATATGCCATCAAATATTGAAACTTTAAAAACTTTTTTTAACTAAAGTACATATCAGCTCGAGAAGAAATTTTGTTTTTTGAATTATATCGAAGTTGTTATGATTTTTCCAAATATGGAAGAATACCACAGATTTTCTACTCCAAAGTTCTGAATTTTTATTACAAAAGTCTTAGATGTAGAAAAAATTACTCACCATCACAGCATATTTTTGAAGTGAACATATTTTATCATTGACGTGATAATGATATGCATCAAATAAACTTTCTTTGATTGTCATTTCAGTTTTATGTTGTGAACCAGCTGTTGTGCATCGAGATAAATGACGTTCAAGACCAATAAGAACCAAATATCCAATAGAAAGGATTTGATATTTTTTACCAGAAATAAGGCATCAAGCTTTTTTAAAGATAGATAGAACATTTCTTGTAACAGTTAGATGTTCCCAATCGTCAGGACTGAATATAAAAGAACTAAGCTTATGAATCACATTGGCCGCTAGAAATGGTAAAACTCGTTTTGGATTGGCAGTAATTCAATTAATACTATCTTGATAGGCAATGAATCGAACTAACATATAATAAGATGAATTTCAGCTTACAATACAGTCTAATATAAGACCGCTACTAGATAATTTTTTAAGATTAGCCTTGTGTTGAAAATAATCACGTAACATATGAATTCGTCAAGTAACTCGAGCAAATTGTCGAACACCACCTACTAAATAATATACATTCAATAAAGTATTACCAGTAGATGGTATAATATTATCGAGATTAATTTCATCAAGACTCATTTCTTCATCATCTGAATCATTATCACTTGAACTTTCTGCTTCTTCATTTTCATCTGCATCATCGTCTAAACTTCAATATTCAATATCTTCATCACCATTAGTTGCATCAATATAATATTTTTTGTTCGTGGATAATGATGAGTGATCATTCGAAAAGCTTTCCAGACTATACTGAAGAAAAAAATTTTTATGCCACATTAATCGAACATTTTTGAAGACTTTTCTCTTTATATTCTACTGTTGTTAGATATTATCAGCATCTATTTCCATAATGAATTTTTTATCCATTTTTATCATAGTTTGATCAAACATTTTAATGAATGATACCTTAAAAAGAGTAAATTTCTCTAAATAATACTGAGGACAGAGAAAAGCCTTCAAATAGATAAAACAACTTCAATAGACATCGGATCGAAATTGAACCTTGATAATGGTAATCGATTTTATTTTTCTATTTCTTTTCAAAATCAACCAGCTTCGATCCTTTTCAAGCCACAGATGTAGTCGTTTTCAAATTATCGATATACTATTTACAAGAAAGACAGCTCTCTCTTGAAGTTGTCAACTTCTAGTTTTTGATTGGTTAAAGCGTAAATTAAGATTGATATAAGTATGTTATTATAGCGATAAAAGTCTAGTGATACATATAAATCATTATTTTCTATATCTCTTTCTCTCTCTCTACAGACGTCATCAAATCTGCAGAAATCTCGCTGAGTTAAAGTGAAGTTGTTCTCTTACATCGTTTAAAAAACTTTATTAATACCATCAAATTGAAATATTACTTATGTTAAAAAAAAAATAAAAAAGAGAATATGTAATATTCAATTCCTGAAAAGAGTAGAAATTATCTGGTGAAAATCTTTTTTTTCGTCTTGATAAACAATACTATTCAGTTTAGTTTATCCTACTTATGAAATATCGCTATTACGATAAGCTTTTCAGTTAGCTTTATTAACTATTGAAAAATTCTTACTTTTCATCTGATAAATTAAGACCATCTTGAAGAATAAGATTGAAAATATGTGCTAAACATAAGATGCGCATATCAAAATAGTTAACATTTGAAATTGCAGCAACAATGTTTGTAGCATTATCTGTAGTAATGGAACATATTTTGTTTTGAATATTTAATGATGTAATTTCATATAATCTATATTTTCGACGACGTTCAGTAATATGACTACCGACTAACTGACGAAAACTGATTGTAAGAGATATAAGATTGAAATTGGCATCACGAAAATGAGCTGTTAAACTAACAAAATGAAGATCTCTACTGTTCTTCCATACATCAGAGATTAGAGCTATAGCTGGTATATTAGCAAGAGTAGCACATAATGAATTACGATGTTGAGCATAAAGTTTAGCAAGATGAGCCTTCACCGTGTTTCTATGCGGTAGAATATAACTAAGAACAGCTAAAGCAATAAATGATCGCATTCCACTTTTCCTGAATTCGCTGAAAGAATGTAAATCTTTTATTATATAAGATATAACAGCTCTATGCAATTCTTTTCTTCTTTCAATTGAAATAGGATTTGATTTAGGTAAATAATTTTTTCGTTGAGATAAATAAAGAAATTAGTCCGTTATGTATCACATGTAATTTGAATTCTTCGACTAGCTCTTCGCCGTCAAGTTCAATTCTCATTCTTTTTTCTAACTTATTAACAAAAATTACTCCGTTATACCTTCTCTCTATTATTTGTTTTTTAAAACAAATCATTACGTTCTTAACTAATTGGCTTTTGCCGAGCCTTTCTATAACGATACAGTCTACGAAAATTTTTTATTATGTTCTTAAATATCTTTTTTTGGCTTTTTATTATTATAAACTTTTTATTTACTAACCTATCATGTATATATATAGGAAGAAAGCTCAGAACGTGCTGCATCTTGTAGTACATTTTGTTGAACAATAAATTTGGTTTGAAGTAAAAAAAAGTGTATTAGAAGAAAAAGGACATTATTCAAATTACATGATGTTCATAATGTTATAAGTTTTTTTTAATTTCGTATAAATCTTGACCTAGATAAATATTAAAATCTTAAATTTTTTTTAAAGATATGCAGTGAAAAGTTCTATAAAAGGTATATGATCAAATTCATTTTATCTGTTTTTATGATCTTTCTTATACTCAAAATGAACAGCTGATAAGTAGCAATGTCACCTCCGACCATATAGTAAACATTTCAAGAACTATTTCGATTCGCTATAGGATTTGATATACACAAATTTTCTTAAGCTTTCGACAGTACGTCTTTTAAAAACAAATTTAACATGCCATCATATTCTCAAGACAATATGGATGGAGGAAAAAATAGTCTTCTGACTTTCTGAGTATAAGAGAGATGATTAAAATAGATAAAATGAATTTGATCATGTAGTCTCTATAGAACTTTTCATTGCACATCTTTAAAAAAGTTCAAGATTTTAATATTTATCTACGTCAAGATTTATACGAAATTAAAAAAAACTTATAACATTATGAATACCATGCAATTTGAATAATGTCCTTTTTCTTCAAATACACCTTTTTTTTTACTTTAAACCAAATTTGTTGTTCCACAAAATGTACTGCGTGATACAGTACGTTCTGAGCTTTCTTCCTGTATATAAATGATAGGTTAATAAACAAAAACGTTATAATAATAAAAGACTTATATTTAATTCAGCAATAAAATAATTGAAATGAGCAATAACGAAATTTAGCAATAGATTTACTGAATCAGCAATAATTATATTGGATGAGGGATAATTATATTGAATCAGCAATAATTAACTTAAATTAAAAGTAAATTTTATATAAAAAGGGGCACTATGGATTCATTTTGTTATGCTACATTCCAAAGATGTGCTATAAGACAGAGTTGTGTTATACTATACATTATATTTTCGGTCTCTTTCTTTCTCTACATATGTATCTACACCATTCATGCTCTTTCTCTTTTGTCAGGTTAGCTCTACTGGTTTTTCTGAATCCTACCAAAGAAATCATTCTATCATCTCGAGTATTGAATGGTTATTCGAATACAAATTTTGTAAATTAATATTTACTCTTTCAAACTATGCAATTAGAACTGTACAACAACCATGCAAAGCCGAAGGTTTTTAAACAAAAAAAGTCCGAGTCCATACATTCGGGTCTGATAGAGTTCAAGTATGAACTCCAACCTTTTTATTTAAAATCCTTCAACTCTGAATGTCTTTTGTACAGTTATAATCACATTGTATGAAAGTGGAAACATTGCTTCACAGATGTGTATTCGAAAAACAATTCAGTATTCCAAAAAAAATAGAATGGACCAAAATCCTCTGGTCGACTTCGGAAAACCTGCCGCAGCTCCCTACTGTCAGATACATTCCCATATTGCTTTCTCTTCGATTGTTCATTTCTTTCTTTCAAGTGATCATTCAGATATATTCTATTCATATCACATCTATTCCTGGTATATTCTGTCATCTCAGATACAGGTCTACATGAGTGTGATAACAAGGAGGATCTTATTTTTCGAAAATAGACATCATATACACAAGATCATATTACGGATTTAACACATTTATTTATAGAAATATGTAAGAAACAGAGGCAGACCACCCAGGTAAAAAAGGCTTTATTGATCCAATAATATACTATATTTTTTATTTCTTTTTTTTTATTTTCGATTGTAATTAAAAATAATGCAGTTTTTCTTTTATTTATTCCTAAAATATGAAATTATTACTGCTATTTAATGAATTAATTATTGTTCATTTAATAATATGAAATTGTTCAATGAAGTTTTTTGTATTGCTCACAAATTATTGCTAAAACGTATGTTAATTATTGCTGGTTCCAATATTTTTATTGCTCAAATAAATACTAGCCATAGTAAAAAATAAAAAAAAAAACAAACATCAAAGAAAATAATAGAAAATTTTCGTGGATTGTATTTTTTGTTTTGATAAAACAACCATTATTGACAATACACTTTTAGTATGTAGCCTAATCGAGATTGAATCGAATATTATAAAATCCAAGCATATTAAATATCAACAAAAAAAAATTCAAAAATGTAAAAACAATTTGTGCCATGATACCTATATCACAAACTCACCCGATTATGCAAATTGTTTTGAAAAATTCACGTATTTTTTTTTAATGATATAAATTTTGTCTTAACGCATCATATGAAAAGCGATAAGAGACAATATTTACATATGAACTCGGTGAAATGATTATTTACACAATACTCATAGATAAAAGTCACATCGTTCTACTTTCAACTTACGCAAATTAAAATATTATCTTTTTATTGCAGTGCCAACAAACTTATAGCTACAAAACAATATGAAATACTTAGGTCATTCCAAAAGTAGTGAGAGTAACGCTTTCATGTCTTCTAGTAAACTGAATGAGAGTTTCTTTTCGTGTGAAACGATAGAGAAAAAAAAA